CGACCTGAACGCAGCGCCTTAGACCACTCGACCATCCTGACACGCAAAATAGCTTTCCCTTGCATAAAGTTTTTAACCTCAAAAAATGACTGAAAGAAATACATTGTCAGATGTGGGATTCAGACCCACGCCCACACAAGTGGTTGCGACCTGAACGCAGCGCCTTGAACTGCTCGGCCATCCTGACACGTGGGAGAGTGTTTCCTTTCATTTAATTAATGAGAACTTAAAAAATGAATGAATGAAATATAAATTGTCAAACGTGGAATCCGAGCCACGCCTGCAGTATTTTACTGCGACTTAAACGCAGCGCTTTAGACCGCTCAGCAATCTTAACCTGTGAAAGATCTTTCCCTTACATTTAGTTTATGAAAACTAAAAAAATAATGACTGAATAAAATTACATTATCAGAATTGGGATTCGAACCCACGACAAAACCGAGTGGACTTCGACATGAACGCAGCGTCTTTGACCGCTTGGCCATCCTGAAAGTCGAGAAAACGTTCCCTTTAATTTACTTTATGAGAACTAAAAAAAATAACTCAACTAAATATAATTGCTCGACGTGGGAGTTGGACCCCCGAACACGCAAGTGTACTGCGACCTGATTAAAGCGCCTTAGACCACTCGGCCATCCTGACACGTGTGAGAGCGTTTCCTTACATTTAAGTTATGAGAACTAAAAAAAAATGACTGAATAAAATTTTATTGTCAGAAGTGGGATTCGAACCCACGCCCACAGAAGTGGAATATGATCAAAACGCAGCGCCTTAGATCGATCGGCCTAATTCCTGACATGTGAAAGAGTTTTCCTTACATTTAGTTTTTGGAGCTAGAAAAGTATGTGATAAAACTTTATTGTCATTAGTGCGGATTCGAACCCACGCCCACAGAAGTGGACTGCGACCTGATCGAAGCGCCTTAGACCGCTCGACCATCCTGACACGCAAAACAGCTTTCCCTTGCATGGGATTTTTAACCTCAAAAATTGACTGAATAGGAAATACATTGTCAGAAGTGGGATTCGAAGACGCCCGCAGAAGTGGACTTCGACCTGAACGCGCAGCGCCTCAGACCACTCGGCAATCCTGACACGCAAAATAAATAGCTTTCTCTTGCATATAGTTTTTTTAACCTCGAAAAATGAATGAAAAAATACATTGTCAAAGTGGGATTCGAACCCACGCCCACAGAAGTGGACTGCGACCTGAACGCAGCGCCTTAGACCGCTCGGCCATCCTGACACGTGGGAGAGTGTTTCCTTTCATTTATTTAATGAGAACTTAAAAAAAAATGAATGAATGAAATATAATTGTCAAAAGTGGAATCGAAACCACGCCTGCAGAATTTTACTGCGACTTAAACGCAGCGCTTTAGACCGCTCAGAAATCTTAACTTGTGAAAGATCTTTTCCTTACATTTAGTTTATGAGAACTAAAAAAAAATAATGACTGAATAAAATTACATTATTAGAAGTGGGATTCGAACCCACGCCAAAACCGTGGGGACTTCGACATGAACGCAGCGCCTTTGACCGCTTGGCCATCCTGAATTTTGAGAAAACGTTTCCTTTAGTTACTTTATGAGAGCTCAAAAAATAACTCAACTAAATATAATTGCTCGACGTGGGATTTGGACCCACAACACACAAGTGTGGCGACCGATTGCAGCGCCTTGTGGAACGCTCGGCCATCCTGACACGTGCGAGAGCGTTTCACTTACATTTAAGTTATGAGAACTAAAAAAAATGACTGAATAAAATTGTATTGTCAGAAGTGGGATTCGAACCCACGCCCACAGAAGTGGAATATGATCAAAACGCAGCACCTTAGTCCGATCGGCCATCCTGACATGTGAAGAGTTTTCCCTTACATTTAGTTTTTTGGAACCTAAGGAAAGTATGTGAATAAAATTTTATTGTCAGAAGTGGGATTCGAACCCACGCCTCCACAGAAGTGGACTGCGACCTGAACGCAGCGCCTTGAACCGCTCGGCCATCCTAACACGCAAAATAGCTTTCCCTTGCATAAAGTTTTTCAACCACAAAAAAATGACTGAAAGAAATACATTGTCAGAAGTGGATTTGAACCAACGCCCACGCAAGTGAACTGCGACCTGAACGCAGCGCCTTAGACCGCTCGGCCATCCTGACTGGGAGAGTGTGTTTCCTTTCATTTAATTAATGAGAACTAAAAAAATGAATGAATGAATTATAATTTATAAACGAATACGAAACCACGCCTGCAGAATTTTACTGCGACTAAACGCAGCGCTTTTAGACCGCTCTGAAATCTTAACCTATGAAAGATCTTTGCCTTACATTTAGTTTATGAAAACTAAAAAAATCATGACTGAATAAAATTACATTATCAGTGGGATTCGAACCCACGCCCACAGAAGATGGAATGTGATAAAAACGCGGCGCCTTAGACCGATCGGCCATCCTAACAAGTGAAAGTGTTTTCCTTACATTTAGTTTTGGAACCTAAGAAAAGTATGTGAATAAAACTTTATTGTCAGAAGTGGGATTCGAACCCACGCCCACAGAAGTGAACTGCGACCTGTACGCAGTGCCTTAGACCACTCGCCCATCCTGACACGCAAAATAGCTTTCCCTTGCATAAAGTTTTTAACCTCAAAAATTGACTGAATAGAAATACATTGTCAGTGGGATTCGAACCCCACGCCCACAGAAGTGGACTTCGACCTGAACGCAGCGCCTTAGACCACTCGACCATCCTGACACGCAAAATAGCTTTCCCTTGCATAAAGTTTTTTAACCTCAAAAAATGACTGAAAGAAATACATTGTCAGATGTGGGATTCGAACCCACGCCCACACAAGTGGACTGCGACCTGAACGCAGCGCCTTAGACTGCTCGGTCATCCTGACACGTGGGAGAGTGTTTCCTTTCATTTAATTAATGAGAACTTAAAAAAATGAATGAATGAAATATAATTGTCAAACGTGGAATCCGAAACCACGCCTGCAGTATTTTACTGCGACTTAAACGCAGCGCTTTAGACCGCTCAGGAAGCTTAACCTGTGAAAGATCTTTCCCTTACATTTAGTTTATGAGAACTAAAAAAATAATGACTGAATAAAATTACATTATCAGAAGTGGGATTCGAACCCACGCCAAAACCGTGTGGACTTCGACATGAACGCAGCGCCTTTGACCGCTTGGCCATCCTGAATTTTGAAAACGTTTCCTTTAATTTACTTTATGAGAACTAAAAAAAAATAACTCAACTAAATATAATTGCTCGACGTGGGATTTGACCCACAAACAATGTGTACGGCGACCTGATTGCAGCGCCTTAGAACGCTCGGCCATCCTGACACGTGCGAGAGCATTTCCTTTACATTTAGTTATGAGAACTAAAAAAATGACTGCATAAAATTGTATTGTCAGAAGTGGGATTCGAACCCACGCCCACAGAAGTGGAATATGATCAAAACGCAGCACCTTAGACCGATCGGCCATCCTGACATGTGAAAGAGTTTTCCTTACATTTAGTTTTGGAACCTAAGAAAAGTATGTGAATAAAATTTTATTGTCAGAAGTGGGATTCGAACCCACGCCCACAGAAGTGGACTGCGACCTGAACGCAGCGCCTTAAAACCGCTCGGCCATCCCTAACACGCAAAATAGCTTTCCCTTGCATAAAGTTTTTCAACCACAAAAAATGACTGAAAGAAATACATTGTCAGAAGTGGGATTTGAACCAACGCCCACGCAAGTGAACTGCGACCTGAACGCAGCGCCTTAGACCGCTCGGCCATCCTGACATGTGGGAGAGTGTGTTTCCTTTCATTTAATTAATGAGAACTAAAAAAATGAATGAATGAATTATAATTGCCAAACGTGGAATACGAAACCACGCCTGCAGAATTTTACTGCGACCTAAACGCAGCGCTTTAGACCGCTCTGAAATCTTAACCTATGAAAGATCTTTGCCTTACATTTAGTTTATGAAAACTAAAAAAATAATGACTGAATAAAATTACATTATCAGAATTGGGATTCGAACCCACGCCAAAACCGAGTGGACTTCGATATGAACGCAGCGTCTTTGACCGCTTGGCCATCCTGAAATTCGAGAAAACGTTCCCTTTAATTTACTTTATGAGAACTAAAAAAAAATAACTCAACTAAATATAATTGCTCGACGTGGGAGTTGGACCCCCGAACACGCAAGTGTACTGCGACCTGATTAAAGCGCCTTAGACCACTCGGCCATCCTGACACGTGCGAGAGCGTTTCCTTACATTTAAGTTATGAGAACTAAAAAAAATGACTGAATAAAATTTTATTGTCAGAAGTGGAATTCGAACCCACGCCCACAGAAGTGGAATATGATCAAAACGCAGCGCCTTAGACCGATCGGCCATCCTGACATGTGAAAGAGTTTTCCCTTACATTTAGTTTTTGGAACCTAAGAAAAGTATGTGAATAAAATTTTATTGTCAGAAGTGGGATTCGAACCCACGCCCACAGAAGTGGACTGCGACCTGAACGCAGCGCCTTAGACCGCTCGTCCATCCTAACACGCAAAATAGCTTTCCCTTGCATTTAGTTCTTTAACCTCAAAAAATGACTGAATAGAAATACATTGTCAGAAGTGGGATTCGAACCCACACCCACAGAAGTGGACTGCGACCTGAACGCAGCGCCTTAGACCGCTCGGCCATCCTGACACGAGGGAGAGTTTTTCTTTTCATTTAATTAATGACAACTTAAAAAAATGAATGAATGAAATTTAATTGTCAAACGTGGAATCCAAAACCACGCCTACAGAATTTTTCTGCGACCTGAACGCAGCGCTTTAGACCGCTCAGGAATCTAAACCTTTGAAAGATCTTTGCCTTACATTTAGTTTATGAAAACTAAAAAAATAATGACTGAATAAAATTACATTATCAGGATTCGAACCCACGCCAAAACCGAGTGGACTTCGACATGAACGCAGCGCCTTTGACCGCTTGGCCATTCGTAAATTTGAGAAAACGTTTCCTTTAATTTACTTTATGAGAACTAAAAAAAATAACTCAACTAAATATAATTGCTCGACGTGGGAGTTGGACACCCGAACACGCAAGTGTACTGCGACCTGATTGCAGCGCCTTTTATAGACCGCTCGGCCATCCTGACATTGAGATCGTTTCCTTACATTTAAGTTATGAGAACTAAAAAAAATGACTGAATAAAATTTTATTGTCAGAAGTGGGATTCGAACCCACGCCCACAGAAGTGGACTGCGACCTGAACGCAGCGCCTTAGACCGCTCGGCCATCCTGACACGCAGAATAGCTTTCCCTTGCATGTAGTTTTTTTAAACTCAAAAAATGACTGAAATAAATACATTATCAGAAGTGGGATTCGAACCCACGCCAAAACCGAGTGGACTTCGACATGAACGCAGCGCCTTTGACCGCTGGGCCATCCAAAAAATTTGAGAAAAACGTAACCTTTAATTTACTTTATGAGAAAAAAAATAACTCAACTAAATATAACTGCTCGAAGTGGGAGTTTGACCTGAACACGCAAGTGTACTGCGACCTGATTGCAGCGCCTTAGACCGCTCGGCCATCCTAACACGTGCAAGAGCCTTTCCTTACATTTAAGTTATGAGAACTAAAAAATGACTGAATAAATTTTTATTGTCAGAAGTGGGATTACAACCCATGCCCACAGAAGTGGACTGCGACCTGAACGCTGCGCCTTAGACCGCTCGGCCATCTTGACACGTGGGAGAGTGTTTCCTTTCATTTAATTAATGAGAACTAAAAAAATGAATGAATGAATTATAATTGCCAAACGTGGAATCCGAAACCACGCCTGCAGAATTTTACTGCGACCTAAACGCAGCGCTTTAGACCGCTCTGAAATCTTAACCCATGAAATATCTTTTGCCTTACATTTAGTTTATGAAAACTAAAAAAAATAATGACTGAATAAAATTACATTATCAGAAGTGGGATTCGAACCCACGCCCACAGAAGTGGAATGTGATAAAAACGCGGCGCCTTAGGCCGATCGGCCATCCTAACAAGTGAAAGTGTTTTCCCTTACATTTAGTTTTTTGGAACCTAAGAAAATTATGTGAATAAAATTTTATTGTCAGAAGTGGGATTCGAACCCACGCCCACAGAAGTGGACTGCGACCTGTACGCAGCGCCTTAGACCACTCGACCATCCTGACACACAAAATAGCTTTCCCTTGCATTAAGTCTTTTAACCTCAAAAATTGACTGAAAGTAATACATTGTCAAATGTGGGATTCGAACCCACGCCCACACAAGTGGACTGCGACCTGAACGCAGCGCCTTAGACCGCTCGGCCAACCTTACACGTGGGAGAGTGTTTCCTTTCATTTAATTAATGAGAACTAAAAAAATGAATGAATGAAATATAATTGTCAAACGTGGAATCCGAAACCACGCCTGCAGAATTTTACTGCGACTTAAACGCAGCGCTTTAGACCGCTCAGGAAGCTTAACCTGTGAAAGATCTTTCCATTACATTTAGTTTATGAGAACTAAAAAATAATTACTGAATAAAATTACATTATCAGAATTGGGATTCGAACCCACGCCAAAACCGAGTGGACTTCGACATGAACGCAGCGCCTTTGACCGCTTGGCCATCCTTAAATTCGAGAAAACGTTCCCTTTAATTTACTTTATGAGAACTAAAAAAAATAACTCAACTAAATATAATTGCTCGACGTGGGAGTTGGACCCCCGAACACGCAAGTGTACTGCGACCTGATTAAAGCGCCTTAGACCACTCGGCCATCCTGACACGTGCGAGAGCGTTTCCTTACATTTAAGTTATGAGAACTAAAAAAAATGACTGAATAAAATTTTATTGTCAGAAGTGGGATTCGAACCCACGCCCACAGAAGAGGAATAAGAACAAAACGCAGCGCCTTAGACCGCTCGGCCATCCTGACAAAAAAAGAGTTTTCCCTTACATTTAGTTTTTGGAACCTAAGAAA